GGGCATAAATCCTGTTTAAGTTTTTCTAAAGCATATAATTACCTTAACCGGATTTCCTTTAGATACTAGGTGTCTTTACAAATAAAAAAAATAATCAAACAAATCGACACCAGGAAGAAGATAATAAATATTTTTTGATAAAATAAATTAATGTAAAAGTGATTTAAATATTTTAATGTGGATCAGTTTACTAATTTGCTTCACTTATAAGCTATAAGTTAATTAAGTTAATAAGCAAGATCATCAATAAAATGTAGCATTTTTCAGATTCTAGAGTAATTAATCTAGAATCATTGAATTTGAATATGGTAAAGAATACTTTTACTATACACGTGTCCAAAGCTTAAGGATGAACGAAATTGTTCTGAGGGAAATGTACACCAAACTGCCCTTGCTCTGAGAAAGGTGTGCACCAATCTACCTTTGTTCTGCAGGAGAAATGGGCCAATCTACCATCCTTGCTCTAAAGGTAGAGTGGATCAAATTTCCCTCACTCTACAGGAGGAACAGACAAACTGCATTTGCTCTGAGGGAGTATGCACCAATCTAACCTTGCTCTGAATGAGGGTGTACTAATCTTCCCTTGCTCTGAAGGAAGAATAGACCAATCTGTCCCAATAACACCTGAATCACTTGGTGACTAGGCTGCCACGACATTGTGAATACTGCATCACAGTTCGAAATAGATATATTCCATACTGACAGGTGTCTCTGCCTGTGTATTATAAACAGTTTCCATTCTTCTTCACGTATATCAACTGCTTTTTCATCAAAGATCTACTTTGATTTATTGTGTATTACTGTATTAGACGTCCAGTAATACAGTACTTTCCATATTGCATTTTACAGTTTTCTCTATTTAGGCCTATGTACAGTACCTGTACACGTCCCGCCTTAAGTTTCGAACACGTGTTTACTTAAAGAATTACTTAGAATATATACTTGAAATATTATCTCGAATGAGTTTTTTAAATTCGTTTTTCGGAGGTGGTCGTTGTTTAGAGGTTATTTTTGTTCAAAAATAGTGACCGCCGTTTACAGGTGACCTTTATTGATCGACTGTATTTTAAATATTATTACTTAAATTATTATGTATTCAATTTTTTAGTAAATTTAATAATTTTCGTCGCATTCTTCCCCTTCATCCTGTCATCTTGTTTTCCCTCCTCCTCTATCACTTTTTACAGCCGTTTCCTGTATAGATTTTTGTATGACGCTTCGACATTTAGGAAGAGAAGAAAATTCTATGCATTTTCTAACTTTGATGTCATTTTATATTTAAAAAAATATATATTTAAAAGTGATTTTTGCTCGCGTTAAAACAATAAAAACAAAAATCTAACAATGAGTTGTGTAACATTTCCAGCAAAACAGTTAAAATTATCTTTGGCGCCATCTGTTGTGAGGTTTTTATTAAAAAGTTTTTATATGATTAATTATTATAAAAATAGGAAGAAAATTATAAGGGTAGAATAGAATTTTAAATACTAATAACGAGTAAAATCTTCATTAAGTCCGGATCCACTCGAGATACGACAGGTGACCGCCTCGACCTTTCACCACCAAAATTTAACAGCAGAAATGTCCCTAATACTCAAACCTCCCTAGAAAATTTCAGAAAATTTCGTCAAAATGTGCAGGAGTTATTAAGCTTTAAAGTGGGTGAACAATAGCGTGCTCTCACACGTATGCATTAACATCCATACATGCAGGAAAACCCCCAAATTTTTTTGAATTTCTCGAAGTTTCATGGTGCCCCGGTCCAAAAATATAAAAATCTTGGGGGGGGGATTATTTTTGACTGTTTGCCATACATATATAATACTGGAAAAGTAAAAGTTCTTTTGACTTGTGTATCCTATTGTATCATTTGTATTGATTAAGTGAAGAAGAATGCAATTTCCTATTCGCAGTACAGGATACAAATGTTATTTCTCTTGTTTACGTGAACATTTCTCTTCATTAGTAATTGAATTTCTAGAAACACAAACAGGTGTTCGTCACGGATGTACTGAAAACCTGTTTACTTTATCAAATATTTTATGTAATACATTTTATTATTAGGTAATATCCAATAAACTTTCTTATCTTAAATAAAAAAAAAGAGGTAGAGAGATAAGATTAAGCATCAGTTTTTTAAGGATTCACGTGAAAGATTTGGGTCATACACGTGGAGGAAAAGATGACGAGTTTTCATACCAAATTTAAGTGTATAAGACGATAAATTTCAAGAAATTAAATGATTTTGTTAGCATTTTTTGTACTTTGCTTTTAATTTTAGAAAGCGTAATTAGAAGATCCATCAGTGGCACCAGAGGAATGGACAAATCTGTCTTTGCTCTGAGGTAGGAGTGAATCAATTTGCCCTTATTCTGTAAGAGGAATGGACCAAATTGCTTTTGCTCTGAAAGAGGAGTGGACCAATCTGTCCCAAGAATACCTGAATCACTTAGTGACGAGCCTGTCACGACATTGTGAATGCTGCATCACAGTTTGGCTGGTCACGTGGAGTTTAAAAGGGTTTTCTTCAAATATTTAACATCTAAACAAGTCCTGCCGGGGAGCATACCTCTCGGCAGTTCCTTCACGTGTTGCTTTGCCGTATACAAACATAAACTAGTGTATTACGGGAATTAAGTGGGTGTAATATTCTTAGGATAGATAGTCTCCTCAGATATGTAAAAATTAACAGGAAAATGGAATTATTTGCATTTTTCTCTTACGGAACGATGAATTGAAAATGATAATTGGGTCCTCATTTTTCATACACATTCAGAAATTTAAGCAATTTGGCTATTAAATGGGTCAAACGAAAGAAATAACACAGTTTAATAAGAAATTTGTAAAAGATTTCCACGTAACTTACTTAAATTATTATAAAAATTAGATTTAGAAAAGAGAATATTTAAGAATTTCCCATTTATTTGGGTGACACATTTAAAATGACATATTGATCCGTAAACTGTGGATTTTTCCAATTTATTTATTTTTTATGCCATGACCTTATCCAGATATTTCCTTTAATAAATACAGTGGCGGATTAACCCATAGGGCCTCGTCGTCTGGAGGAGCTTCAAAAATTACGTAGTAAAATGATAATATTCCTGTAAAAAGACTTGCCAAATTTATATGACCCGGTAAAAAAGACGCTTAATTAATTAAAAATGATTTATCACATCCAACTTTCATTCCACCCCGTCCTACCCTCAAAATTGAATGGTACATAAGAATATGACAGCCATACGAAAATCCACACTGCCATTGCAAAATGAAAATAAAGAACAAATTGCACTCCTTGTTTCAAAAAAGGACAAGGACAGTAAGCTAAAATAAAGCATTGTCCTTTGAAATAAAGGACGTCTGGCGACCTTGCTCACCCTCTCTCTCTCTCTCTCTCACACACACACAAGCAAAATTGTATGTATACAGTAAAACCTGCGTAAAATGGATTCGTACCGTACCATAATTGAAATAGATTATTTTAAATGCTGTGTTTTTTTGTAGGTCATCTTTGTCTGATGTGATATATTTCAAACTGCCATTTTACAAGAACGTAACCTCGATTTTTAACACAGATTATAAGAAGTAGGTTGGTTCGCTTTACGACGATTTTCCAGGAACTAATTAATGGTAAAATAATACATATTTCATGCAAATAAATAAATAATAAAATACAATTAGAGATGCTTTAATGCTGTAAAGTGCTTTACGTCTCAGTGGGATTAGATTGGATTGACTGAATAAAGCAACCTGCCAAGGAGGATGCTTCATAGAAAGACTTTCAATGATGGAACTTACCCCTATTTAGGTATTAGACACGTGAAGAAAACTCAGAAAACTCTATGTAGATTGTTAATGAGGCACGAACCCGCGACCGACTTTCAGTGTTTTAGTGGTTCTATCCACTGGACACGGATGGGCCTTCAGAAAAGATTAGAAATCTCAGATTTAAATTAATTTTTCTAGTTAATTAATTAAAACAACCAGAAAAATTTAGTTTTCTCCAAACTTTTCGGAGGCCCACCAGTGCCCGAGTGAAGAAAAAACATCTGAACATTAGTGGGTTCGTGCCTCGTCAATGGGCCACGTGGAGTTTACCGAGTTTTCTTCACGAGTGTAACACCTAAATAGGGGCCAATTTCCAATAGAAAATCCTCATGGGTGGTATTTAGGGTTTCTCCAACAGGATCCCGGGAAACAGTTTTCACTTTTTTTCCCCCGGAATCCCGGGACAAGTAAAAGACCCTAGTGGTATTGAGAAACCCTAGTGGTATTCCTCCTCGGCAGATCACGTGCCGTAAACCAATCCTTCTCCTTTCAGATGTTAGATACGTGAAGAAAACTCCATGTAGGCCGTTGGCGGGACACGAACCCACGACTAAATTCCAGTGTTTAGTAGTTTAGTGGTCGCGATGTGAGTGAATGCACCACTCAGTTGTGAGCCAAAGCAGCAGCAGCTAAACTGATTTGGCTCACATTATTTTTCAGATATCTTCGATGAGAAATTTTAAATATTTATACATAACTATTTAAATTATTCACATTTATATTATCGAATTATATTTTATATATCTGCGTGACAAATCCATTAATTCTTTGCTTTTTCACCTCGAGTCGTCGGCACGCGCCGAAGCAATTTGCATAAAGCGATTTGAATTGTTGCCACCGAATTTCACTTCCCGTGTCAATCAATATTTTGAAATCGAATTTTCTAGTGTTTTAATTCTAATCACAGAGAAAATGTGACAAAATATAATAAAGATCGAATTACGCCTGTGACGTGAATTCGACGTCACTTCGTATTTAAATCCGGAATGACGCAACATAGATAACACGACAATGTGTATGACGAAAGATGACGCATTGGATAAAACAACGCGACATTTCTAATCTATCTTCGTCACACTAGGATACAGATAATGCATCATTTAAAATAATAATATATTCTATGCAAGGTGAACCAATGTCTAGGATCTTCCAAAAAAAAAGGTCTAGGCCTCAAGTTTAATATACAAAATTAGCGTGTTTAATTATTACTTTTTATTAAATGAATAATTAAAGGAATTGAAATACATATTTATGAGTAAACAATGTAGAATGATGTGCAAAATGATTCAAAATTTCCACACCAGATGGCGACAGCTTAGCATTGGATATCCGGACAGCATCGAGGGTAAGGTCCTTTCCTTTTTATAATTGTGCATCCTTCAGGATTATCGATAACTGTACATCTACATTAAATTAATTAATTTTAAAAGAATATATTAAAAAATAAAATTTATTTTAAAAAGTTCTTAAAAAGTATTATTTACTTATAAGTTTTTATATTTCGAATTCCTCGTATCACCACGCATCTGTGCTTTTCGCACCTTTCGTTATCCGTCCAAATCTCTTTTAATTTACGTTTAATTCCGTTTTTATCGATGCAAGGACCTTAAAAAAATAAAGAATTCAAGGTTTAAAAAATTATTTTCTTATTAATTATTTTTATTTAAATAAAACAACGCGCGATTTTTATTGTTTATAAATGGAGCCACGCGACGCGACGCGACGTCGCGAGCGAACTGTATTTCTCTTAAACTGAACTAACACTCTCTTGTAAAATTGTAAAATATCAAATATATCAATTAATTTATTTATAAAATTTGTTTGAATTGATAAACATTAATTTAAACAATTAAATATCTCTATTTCAATTACGTCGCGTCGCGCCTCCTCGCCGCAAAAGTGCGCGACGCGTATCATATACAGTATTATATACATACTAAGCATTATGTATATCATAGCCCAGTCTTATGCCTAGGGACTTGTGTGTTTAGAGGCCTGAGACATTCGTAAACACATTCTTACCGTTTGTTTCCATTCACATAAATAATACCTACGGCCCTAGACCTTGTACTTTAACAAATATACGATACAATTTTCAAATTATACAAAAAGGGGCCTGAAATTATAAGGTTGTCTAGGGCCTTGCAGAAAACACACAAAAACCTTTAAAATATTAAAATACAACACTTAAAAACAATGCTGGTGAAGCACGACTTACCTGGTCCAACCTCTTGAGGTGTGTGAAGTATGGCAGCGTGTAAGAACTGCACGAGTAAACAGACACATATTACACAGATGTATAACTTAGTTAAGAATACCATGATGGTAGCTTCACAACTTACAATTTATATGGCACCTTATATAAAAGTACGGTAAGAATTGTAAGTCACAAACACGTAGTGTCAGAATGTATTTCACAAACAACACTAATTTAGACTTTACTCTTAAGAATAAGGAAGGATGAGGACACACCTTGCTTAATATTGTTTAAAATACGTAGTTACGTAGTGACGTAGTATATAACTGTTAACAGCTATACGTTACTTAGTGTAGACCCCGCTATAAACGTGTTAATCTATTTGAATCGGTTTCAACTGCTTTGGGACACCCGGAATCGAATCCGGACGAGTCGTAAAAACAGCAGGGATTTTTCGGGGGTGGTCCTTCCGGATATGTCAGGCCCGAAAGGGCATTCACCATTTAACAGCCCCTTTGTGGGCTCTCTCTCGTTATTTTTACAAAAACGAAGAAAATATACTTCCGTAGGAATTTGTTATTGATGCGACCCCCGCTTTATGACCGCTGGATTTAAAAATTCCACTTATATAATTAGCATGTGTGTGAAAGTTCATACTTTTTCTCAGCCCTATGAAATTGCAATTTGGATAGGGCCAAGGAAAAGATAGGGCCTTTTTCTTGACCCTCTCCAAACTGCATTTTCAGGAACATAACCTCAATTCATAACATTACACTATCTCAGAACGTTGTAATGTGCGTTAAAACATTGGAAGAGCCTTCAAGTTTCATCTTTACTCGTTACAACTTCTTAATGCATCCACCTCGTTTCACACGGCACGCATCCAACCGAATTCCTACACTCGCTACGTCATATCCGTTATCACACAGCAGCACAGTTCTACGGCTCCTGCAGCTCCCGCAGATTACTTACGTTGTTGCACAATAACGAGTGATTCCAACTTTGCCAATTGTAGATCACAAAACGCCTCTGTTGTGGAGCCGCCATTTTTGTTTAGGAGCTTCCTAGAGGTAGTAGACAATAAGACGTTCGAATGCATATGGGAGATAAAACAAGGAAGTTATTCTATCGATTGGTATACATCACATACTTCTAGGATAATAATTAATATAATTACAATAATTTAAAATGGTAGAATTTATTTTGGAAGGGCCTGCATTATTATAACTTTTGCAGATCGTCCGTGTCGCTTTGCCTATACAAGAAAAACAATGAAAGTGTATAAATAAAATTTCATTTAAAAAAACCAAATAAACCGGCAACGAGTTGCTCAACTTTCCCGGTATCATTAAAAATTTTGATGGTTGTGCCATCTGTTATCATATTTTATTAAAAACCTTTTTTATATTTTTAACTATTATAAAATGGCAAGAATCTTAATTTTCAAGGTAGGGATGGGTTTTATAAAAAATTGTAAGTGCTAATAACGAATAAAATCGTCATTAAATCCGACCCTAATAGAGATACACACGACCCCCATTATCTCCCCACCCATTTGACGTTTAACCACTAAAATTTAACAGCTTTGACCCCCCTAATAAACAAACCTCCCTGCAAAATTTCACAAATTTTCGACGGAAAACACGGGAGTTATTAAGCTTCAAAGAGGTTGCTCCTAAAGATAATGAGGGACAACGAGAAGTGGGTGCCTATAAGGATCCCTTATAACTGGGCTCGTATAAATTATTCATAAACTTTGGGAACGATGGGCGAAAATGTTTCGGATAATATTTCTAAACTCGTCTTGTATTTTTAAGCAAGAATTTAGATTAATTATTCTGTTTATTTTTCAAAGGTTCTTAATGATCTTGTCGACATTTCTTAATGATAGAAAAGAATCTAAAATATAGGTTAAATAACATAACTTCATGATTTATTTATCAACACACGTCACGAGTTTACACCCCATTTATACTGATATTTAAGAAATTTAAACGTAATTAAATGTAGTTTTTAAAATATTCTTTATTTAATTATACAAAATGAGAGTTTCATTAAATAAAAAAGGGCCTAAGGGCAAATAATCCTAGGGCAACAGTCGGGGTAATTTCCTTCTTTTTTCTCTATTTTACAATTTGGATTTGGACTTGATGGAACACCGCAACTGGAAATAAAAAGAAAAAATTAATTTTATTTAAGTCGAAATTATATAAAATTAAGAAACAAATTACGTAAAAATAAATTTTAAAAATCTTAACGTGCAATGGTGCTTTTTAAGTGGCATGGAATATGTGTGAAGGATCCATTCAGGCGACGATAACAGTACCAAATTTAAACAATTGATCCTTTCAATCCCTCATCTACCGAAGCTTGCAATGTGATTTACACAAAAAAATTTTAAATTTTATTACCATCAAATTTCATCTTCTATTGTCAAATTTTGAAATTAAATAAAGTATGAATCACGCGATTCAATTGTCTAAAGATATTTTCTTCTATTTTACTTTTTTTATTCCGATTTTACAGAGGAAAAATCATCGAAAAATTCGCCATTTTAACTTTCTTCGTACGCGCGATTTGCAACGAAATGACGTAGAATTTCATGTCGTAATTAGACTATAGTGACGTGAATTCTACGTCATTTTTTTTTAAAATGCAAATTGCGTTTAAATCGGGATCGATGCGATAGATAACCGCGGATGTGTGACGCAGTACTGGACGGTGTGACGTTGATTATGACAGATGGCCTGACAAAATAATGCAACAGAATATGTATATTGCTACAAACTTAATAGTATAGCCTATTGGTTTATTATAATTTTCGAAATGTACGTCAGAAACTCCATTAACCGGTATCCATTCAACCGGTGTTTTAGTACTCGAAGTCGTTAACAAAAAGAATCTATAGATTAAGTACAAATGAAATATACAGGGTTATAATGTAGCCATTATGAGGATAAGTTTCATAGAAGAGCTTATGCCCCTCTCTAGTTTCAGTTCTGCTTTCGTCTACAAAGAATAATTACTAAGCTGAAACTTGTATTATCAGTAGAGCAAATAACCAATAACGTTTTAAGCACGTTCTAGGCCTTAGAACTAATTTCTTTAGAGGCATTACATGAGGGGTCCTAAAGAAAGCAAGGCCCCAGTCCAGACAGATTGTGCCCTCGCGTTTATGAGGCCCTACATGCTCTTAACAGATAGAGGCGAGAACATGTTTTCTGTTAAATTCGTGCTGTCAAATAAATGGAAGTACAGTACTGTAAATATGAATTTTATTATCTGCAGTTTTCGATTATCCTGGCACAATCCTCCTCCTCATTAGGCCGGTTAATGGAGTTTCTACTGCATATTGTAAAATTGAGACTAAGCAAACACAAAAAAAGGCTGCTAACGGTAGCATTTTAGTTTGCTTTTCCTTCTCGTTCTCTTCGTTCTCAATTCAATTCGTAGAGGTTTTAGGCATAGTCAACCCAGGCAAAAGATTACACTGTTTAGGACTATGCCTCGCATTTTTTGGAGCCTCGGAGAAACACAAATATATACTTATCATTCTTGATCCAGTACTCGAAACTCAGCACAGCTACAATTTAAATATCTGTAAGAACCATATCAAATTAAGTCTACCGAAAAGTCCTGTCAAGTCCACCCTTGCCCAAGGCCTCATACTTAGGAAAGATGGCCGAGCGGTTAGGTTGGCAGCCAGACGCTCTGAAGGACCCTGATTCGAATCCAAACGGGTCGAAAACTCCAGGAATTTTTTGGAGGTGGTCCGTTAGGATGTGTCGAGTCCGGGCCTGGCCAACCCATAATGTTAAAAAAAAAAAGGCCATCTTAATACCCACAAGTGGAAAGAGCTAAAAAAAAGACCTCATGCTGAATACCATTTCACTTGATCTCAGGTTTACCCACGCGAGTACTCGACCTTCAAACGTCAATACAAAGTATTTTTAAACGTATTTTTATTGTTAATTTAATTATTTATAACAATTATTAAACTAAAAATTTAAATTAAACTTATTTAAACTTACTCCGTGATAATAATATAAGCTTTATCCTCGACGATTCGACATGTTAGACGTTCGCAAAAATCCGGATTGTACCAATCTTCCCTATCTTCTTTTAATTCGGATCCATAAACACACTTCCCTATAAATATATATATATTAATTAACACCTTAAATTATAAGGTAAATAATTTAAAAATTATATAAAATACTCTTCAACTTACCATCCCTCATACGAACCGTGCTGTTGAAGGTATAGCAATTTGCCAAAGTTCCTAAAGCCAACAAAGCAATTAATGTGTTTAACATTTTCGAGTGTCGTCTCCTACACTGTTTGTCTGATTGTCTGTCCGTTCCATATATAGGTTACTTGCTTGGCTCCACCTTTATCCTTAAATCTGACTCATCCCACTTCCAGTTTTTCAGGTTAACGATCCATCAGGTTATTAACTAACGTACCCTATCCTTTTATATGGTTAAAAATGTGCCCGAAATCACAAAAATTAAGACAATTTTGACCTCTTAATTATCGGAAGTAATTACAATTTAAAATTTGTAAGGATTTATAAGGAAAAATTTAATTATTTAAGGTTTTTTTGAGGTTAAAATGTAGGCTCTTTCCGTTTTTAGTGTGTGTTGGATGGAATATCCGTAGATAAGAAATGATGCAAAAAATGCAAGATATGAAATAAAGTATGCGGATTTTTGTCCAGTAATCATGTTGATGCTCTGTTTAATTATTTTCTTCCATTTTGTTGTTAAATCGATTGCAATTAGAGAAGAAATTGTGGTGACAAAATCTGTAGGAGGTAAAGGATTTCCTGTTTTAATTATTAATTAATAAATTAATATTTAAATCCTACCGATTTTAAGATAAATTTGATCCTTTTCTTGTTCTGGTAGATGAATTTTTTAATTATAATGTCCTTTTCTTGATTCTTTTTAATGCAGGAAACGGTTTAGTGCAAAATTTCTATCAAATTTCTGCAAGCGACGACGCGCGCGACTGTCGCAGCGCGCCAAAGAGAGAGTGTTTGCGACAGTTGAGAATTTTACACTTATTCATTCTAATAGACAATACTGTTCAGCAATAATGTTCTTTATCTAATTATATGTAACGTAATTTAAGTTTAAGTTGCGTATTTATGCACAAACGCAATGTTTTGTAAACATCGATAGCGACGCGTTACGACGTGTCGTAGGCTGCGACTATTAAAAATTCTACACCTTTTCGTTCTGATTGATGAGTTTTTTATTTATGACGGGATTTAACCGGTTCTATTTAGTTGAAAAACAAATTAACTTAAGCGTTTTAAAAAAAATGTAACCAAGAATTTTGTGAGAAATGATGGCGATGCCGGCGCGCGACCATCGCTTGCAAATAAATCATGTCGCTCGCGAGTTTCGCAACCGATTGCATGCGCCAGTGACACTCATTGACATTCACAAAATTCTGATTTTTATCAAGATTTTACCATAAAAATAATTAGAAATTGTAGTATTTTAAAGTTTCGATTAAGACAAAGTATAAAGATAGGGCCTTAGATAGGCGAGGCCCTCGGATAGGACTTTAGATTGCTATTCCGAGAGCCTATGGTTAGGTAATGTACAGTACATGATTAAACGCTAGGCACGCGAGGCATACAGCTAGGCCCTAGGCACGTCAGGCCCATGACTAAAGCGTCCTGAAATTTAAAAAATAAAGCAATTTTAATAATTCTATAGCCACAATTAGACATTATTAGTTTATAACGTAAACTTATGTAGAGGGTTCCCAAACTTCTGTTCCTAGGGAAGGCCTTAATCCGTCAATGCAGAATTAATATAATATAGATTATAGATAATATAAATCTACACCCTTATATCCGAGTATAGATATGGTTGGCTTTTCTCACCACCCAAATATGCCTGAAATATAGGCCTATATATATATATATATATAAAGCATATTTGGATGATGCCTACTATACATGTAGGCTTTATATTTTAATTTTCGATTTTTGCTGCCTCTAGGCAATGCCTAGTTACCTAATGAATGACTGAGGCCATGCTGACTCTCTTCTACTTGAGCCTGTACAGATTTAGTTTCCAAAATTATATAACCTACACTTAGGGCCTCTCAAACGTAGTGAGACCTTGGCCTCTCAAGTTTGAGGCTACAGTGTAATAAAAAAACACACATCAATGAGTTATAAAATGAATAGTAGATATTTTTGGGGCCCTATGCGAACTCTAATCTTATATAGGCCCTACAGTGATCTACCCAAGCCTTTATTATCGGTGGATAGAATATAAAGTCCCTCTAATCTTCCTGCTTCCTCTATCAAGGTCTAATTAAAGATTTTAAAACCTTAAATGGTCCAGTAACAGGTATAAAAAGAGATTTTATCACACGTAACCGCGTTTCAATTTGTAAACATGACCTGAAGTTACGCTTTAGTAACTAAGTAACTTTTGTAGTGCGTAACTTTAACCGAGGTCACCTGATATTATCTTCAGGTGTATCTATTATTTTGTTAGACTCGTGTAACCTTTTACGTCATTTCACGTCATTCCTATAGTTTTTTTACAATGGGGAAGTAGATAAATGACGTCAAAATGACGTTGAGGGTATCAGAATTATTTATTTAAATGCGTTTTAAGCAATAAAATTATATATATATATATCCTTCTCCTTTCAGATNCTCGACAATTTTCGATGATAAATCTTGCTCCAGCATCACATGCAAAACTGTAGAAGATGCGGGATTTTTAATTATTTTAAGGTATAATTTTAATTAATTTTATATATATTATAAATTACAAATTTAAATTCTTTAATTAAGCAATACATTTCTTTTATTTTTAAGCTGCGAACCTCATTCAATTAAAGACGAATGCAAAATTTTCACAATGAAAGGACGTTTTCCTGATTGTTGTCCCATCAAAATCTGTCCATAACGCAATGAAAATAATCACCTAAAACCTTTTTTTTTTTGTTAAATTAATTAAAACATTCATCTTTTTTATAATAATTTTAAAATATAATAAATTTCTCAAATTTATTGAGTAAAACTGAATTTTTTTGGAAACCGTCGTAAATCGAATTCAAATTTTCCATAGAATTAGTGTTATTAATTACGGTTCCGTTCTTATGTTTTAATGTCAATAATTGGGGTTCTTTTTTTTACTGTTATTAATTTCGCAGCTATCATTTTTACAAGTAACAGTTATAAAACGAGGGGAGATTATAAAACGAGATGTGTTAAAGATGGAATTTTAATTAATAAGAGAGGTCGTAAAGCGGGGGTTTTGTTATAATTGTATACTGGCTTCTTTATAATTTATGAATTAAAAGTAATTAATTATACTTAATAATTTTAACCTGTAATACATGTTTTCGATTCGTATAAAATAAAAAAAATAACTAAAACATGCGACAAAATAAAAATTTATTCATATTTAGAAAATGTTACAAGTATAGAAAGTTTAATAGTTAACAAAATGCAATTGTTTTTTTTTATTAAAAAAAAATCAAAAGAAAGAGAAAAAGAAATGCTTTTATTTTTTCCCATTCCTATCCAGAAGCAATCGAATTTCTTCCACAATGGCTTCGTTGCTGTCAACTTCGGGTTGTTGATTGCAAACGATTTCTCCAGAGCAGCATTCAGGATAAGGTCCTCTACGACCCACAACGGTGCAATTCTGAGAGATGGGAGTGAGGGGAACACAGCTGAAAGAAGAAAACAATAATTAAATACATAACACAATGCTAAAATAGCTTATGAAATTACTCATTTACCCTCTGACTTCGCTGTGTCCTACTGTGTCCATTACGCTGCAAGAGACTTTCTCACAGAAGTCCGTTCTGTACCAAACTTCTCCATTTTCTAGTAATTTATCCTCGTAAATATCGCATCTACCTATAAAAAATATTCATTTAAATTAAATATTTCTGTACTTAAACCTAATTTTTGATCTTCGCAAGATGGATTTTAAAAAGAAATTAATACAGTGGCGTAAATATAAATCTTACCATTTACTATTGGTACCCGTGCATCATTTTTGTAGGAGATGAATCTTACATCATTGTTTGTAGCATAAACAGAGAATGCCAGAAACAGGACAGTGAAAATATTCCAAATCATGTCTTCGGAGTTGGAGTTTAACGTGGTGTTTAATGTGAGAAATGTGTAAGAAGCAAAGGGTTGCCCCTCTTATATTTATCAAAGAAGATGAGTGGTAAACATCCCTTGATACGTTTGACGTCGAAAGTAACATCCTGCATTATGTAATGTGGCCCAAAATAAACTCACTTTCAGAATTTTCAAGGGCATATTTCCACTTTCTCTTGGTGCACGGCTTCCTGAACAGTCTCCGAAGTTTGTTTTTATAAGTCAATTATGAAATTTTAAATAATAATATACAAAATTTACTCTTAAAATAGCTGTAATAAACGTTTTAGTTCAGGAAAACACGGCTCTAAAATTTATAGATTCAAATTTAATGCGCTCTTAGAGTTTCGTATGTGACCACGCTTCAAGTTTGATACTCAAGTTTGTGCAACTTAATTCATATTTGAACTTATTTATCGCATTAGAATATATAAAACTTAATTAAAATTAATTTATATAGCTATAAAGGTAATTAAATATTAAAAAAATAAGGTTATTTAGAAGAAAATATGGTAAAGAAAGCTGGGAAGTTCTTCAACTTCTTGAAGAGCTCTCCAGTTGGGAAGATCTTCAAAAGGCATGGACAATGTATTTATATTCACATATAAATTAAATTAAAATTGTTATATTTAATAATTAAAAATATATAAAAAATGATTTATTTTAGTTTTTACATCAGGGAATTTTATATGAGTGCATTCAAGAGAGCAGAAACAAGCTACACGAACACCACACAAATATAAAAATATTTATAAAGAAATTTCGGATATTTTTTAAAATAAAATATACACACAAATTAATTTATTTATTTATTTTAAATAATTTTAATTAACTTAATAATGTTTTTCTTCAAGCATTTTAACTATAAACATAAAAACAAGCGAGTATATTGACCTTTTTGAAGAATGGGGTCACTTTAATAATCCTTCCTCGGCTTGATTTTCATTATCACTTTACACACGAGTTCCTGTTTATTAAATAATTATACTGATAAATTTTTTAATGTAATTTTACAGATACATTCCAACTGATTTAAATAATATTTACTTCATCAGATGTTCTTAATTAAATTTACTTTAAAAAAAATTAATTAGCGCGACGTTAAAATTTAATACAAGATCAAAAAATAAATAATTTCCAATTAAAGTTTACATTCGGTAAAACCTCTTAACAACGGACACTAACGGAAACATGGATGGTCTTCCGTACTGATGGATCCCATTGCGAGTCAGGCCCTATTCGGCATAATACGGACATCATATAAGGTATAATGAGCACCTTATATAGTAATACCACGAGCTTCGAAACACCCTAAGAATATTTCGGGGGTTGGTTCGTCCGTATACGTCGGGCCCAGTTGCTCATCACACGCCTGTTCCACTGTTGGCCTGGCCGAAATCATAATAAGCCTGCTAAAAAAAGGCCTTTTTAGTGGCCTTAAGAGGAAAGAGTTACGAAACATAAATAAATACCATGCACTAATAGATCAATCAAATTTTCTTTCTGGGTGATTAAATTCTGAACTTTTTAAGAAGCATTTTTGAAATTTTAAACTTTATTTTTAGCCTTAAACATTTGTATTAATGTTTCTCAATCACTCGTGTTTGCACGTTGTGATCTGGATTTTCTCAGACATTGCTTACAAACGTGTTGCCAATATTCTACAACTAAACCAGCTGTGTCGTGGGCATGAAAAAAAGGCCTTACAAGGCCTTATATCGATAGCAAAAGAATAAGATACGGGAATTTTGTGTTCAATTCATCAATTGAGTTTACAGCATCATAGTTAGCATAATATAGATTTTCTTTTATTGTATTATTTAAAGTATAAATATGAAGCAAATGTATTATACAAATACCCAGAAATCAAAAACTTGTAATATAGTTTTCATTTTAACGTTTATTCTTCTTATATTCTGGCCAAGAAAAGCCGTATTCATAAAAGTATAAAATGAAGAAGGCAGTAGTTCCGACTGGCATTACTCAACAACGGGCTTCTTCATAAGAGGTGAAACGCAGGAGAGTCGGGAGTCGAAGAATCGAATCTTTTTATGGAAGTCGGAAGTTGGAGTCGATTTTTAAAAATAATCGACTCGAGAGTTGTGTGTTTTTCCGTCGACTCCCCATCCCTGGTCAAACGTCCACTTGCAATCGAGTAAAAAGTGATGATTATAACGTAAAAGTGATTGAGATAAGTAACCTTCCGCCCTCGACCATGAGTCGTTTTGTATTCTATAATCTACAAGAGAAAACCCCCAAAAATTGAATAATTAAATAAAAATTTATTGATGTAATTGCCTCCAAGCTTTGTCTCCTCCTGGAAAATTTTCTTCTTCATGGTCTCAACACTCTGGTGAAAAACTGTTCCTAGTAGTTCCGAGTCCGGAACCGGTTCTGATCCGGAAGTACTTACATCAACAAAAATTTCACTTTTTTCGAATCTCTTCCCCCATAATCATCAGTCAAGGATCGAAATCATCACTAAGAATCTAACAGTGTGTTGCCTTCATTATCATACAATGCTTACTTATACAGTATAATAATGTATTAAACTTTAAAAAATCATAATACTGTATCAAGGGAATGAAATGCGAGATGAACCAGGTTTCGTGGTAGCCTATCTTTTCCTCAGGGTCTTAGAGAGTACGTACTGTACATGCATATCCTTACGCTCATAATCCAAAAGGAGTGAGCAGCAGGTGAAAGGAGACTACAATCTTACAAATCATCCATTCAGCAACTTCACACCTTCCTGTCCAGATACACCTCTTTTGCTTCAGACACATTCTAGCACACTTCCTCAAATTCTCTGCTCTACGATCCCCATCTTGATATGGTGAGCAGGATCACGTGCCATCAGCTTTATCAGCGGCAGCTTTGCTACGGACAGGCATACCTATGCTGAACAGGTCAGAGAATAGAGTCAGACTAAAGAGGGATCGCTGGTCTTCTAGGGTGCTTAGTCTCCAATTACGTGAGTAACACGAATGTGTTAGGAATGTCACGTGTCACGGACTCATTCAGTGAATGGTCTCAATGAATGAGTTAATACCACGTGATATTCTCAACATGTTCGTGTTGTTACATAACTCGAGACTAGGCACTAACGATGGAGGTTTTTCGTGAGACTAACGTCTCATCTTGTAAAGAAAAAAAAGGCAAAAGGAAAGCAAGATCTAAAATGGTGAGGGTCTTGACTTCGAGCCAAGAAAAATCTGAGAGTAACACCGAAAAATTTGGTGCAGATCGGTCATAGGGTTTAGAAGTTCGTAGGAAACATACAGACAACGCTTCATTCATATGTCTGTAGAGAGTATAAAAAGTTTGATATGTATATAAAGAAGCCATCCAAAAATCATTATCACCCTGCAAAAAAGGACTAATTGATTTCTAATGATTAAAATTTAATAGCCTGGTGTTTTCGACTTTTTTCTTGTAATCTAATTGAAGAAATGCTCGAAGCAATGAACGAAATGTCACTACGATTCTTTAAATACAATAAAAACTAATATCGACGCTTCAATGATAGCCTTAAAGTTAAATACCAATAAACTCAACANCTTATACAGTATAATAATGTATTAAACTTTAAAAAATCATAATACTGTATCAAGGGAATGAAATGCGAGATGAACCAGGTTTCGTGGTAGCCTATATTTTCCTCAGGGTCTTGGAGAGTACGTACTGTACTGTACATGCATATCCTTACGCTCATAATCCAAAAAGAGTGAGCAGCAGGTGAAAGGAGACTACAATCTTACAAATCATCCATTCAGCAACTTCACACCTTTCTTTCCTTCTTGCAGGTGTTAATATGGAGATTATAGCTCAAATAGGCTCTTTCTCCGATAGACTTGTGTATGATCGCTATGCGATCGATGAGCCAGCCGTACCTGAACGGCCTAATCGCGCGCGCGGGAAATAATGCCTTCCGGGAGGACTTTTATGGGAAACTGGCCTCCTATTCAGTCGTTATTGGCAAGGAGAAAACCCGGAAAACTCCAGCCTGTCCGACCGTGGCGCGAACCCACGACGAACCTCCCAGTCTTTAGGGTCTGGTCACCACTACGATGAGCGGCAAAGGAGACCACTCGCCCATCCTTCACACCTTCCTGTCCAGATACACCTCATTTGCTTCAGACACATTCTAGCACACTTCCTCAAATTCTCTGCTATACGATCCCCATCTTGATATGGTGAGCAGAATCACGTGCAATCAGCTTTGTCAGCGGCAGCTTTGATACCTACGGGGATACCTATGCTGAACAGGTCAGAGAATAGAGTCAGACTAAAGAGGGATCGCTGGTCTTCCAGGGTGCTTAGTCTCCACTTACGTGAGTAACACGAATGTGTTAGGAATGTCACGTGTCACGGACTCATTTAGTGAATGGTCTCAATGAATGAGTTAATACCGCGTGATATTCTCAACATGTTCGTGTTGTTACATAACTTGAGATTAGGCACTGACGTTGGAGGTTTGAGTGAGACTAACGTCTCATCTTGTAAAGAAAAAAAAGGCAAAAGGAAAGCAGGATCTAAAATGGTGAGGCTCTTGACTTCGAGCCAAGAAAAATCTGAGAGTAACACCGAAAAATTTGGTGCAGATCGGTCGTAGGGTTTAGAAGTTAGTAGGGAACATACAGACAGACGATTCATTTTACATATGTCTGTAGAGAGTATAAAAAGTTTGATATGTATATAAAGAAGCCATCCAAAAATCATTATCACCCTGCAAAAAAATAGACTAATTGATTTCTAATGATCAAAATTTAATAGCCTGGTGTTTTCGACTTTTTTCTTGTAGTCTAATTGAAGAAATGCTCGAAGCAATGAACGAAATGTCACTACGATTCTTTAAATACAATAAAAACTAATATCGACGCTTCAATGATAGCCTTAAAGTTAAATACCAATAAACTCAACAAACGTGTGATAAATATATCAAATTTTATTTCGATGGTCTCTCGTAGTAACATTGAAACAGCCTTAGATTTCAGCGATCCACGTAATTTAAAAAAGAAAATAAATTATGTAATTTACAGATTTAGCCTTTGTAGCCCAAAGCGGCTACTGGGGCACCGTAAGCACCATAAGCACCGTAAGCACCGTATGCACCAAAGGGGGCTCCAACAACACCCTTGTATCCTACGGCGGCTACGGGGGCTGCCACCGCCGCCACGGGGGCGACTGCTGCGTGAGCGACGACAGCTGGACTTCCAGAAATGGGTCCAGTGTAGGGGGATGCGACGGCAGCGGCTGCTGGGGCGCTCAAGGCGGTTCCTGGTTCGTTAGTTTTGACTACGGCTCTGAATCCGGCGGCGTCGGCTACATATTCCACTCTTCTGGCACGTCCGTCGATGTCACCGATGACGTAAGATCCCCTCTTGTTGCCCCAGCCGTCACCGACTTCGCTGCGTCCGTTGGTGGCACCCACTCCATTAACAATCTGGTAATTAAAGGCGTAGTTTCCGAAATCCTAGAATGAAGCAATGAGCATGAGTATGAGCTAAATTGCTAATAAGTTCGAAGGAATTTCGGAGGATTCGTTTCGTTTTGATCCTCTACTTACGTCTTGTTTGCGAGAACTAACACTGTGGCCTCCTACAGCTGCTCCAGGAACAATTCCCGCAGACACGGCGGCGACAATAGCGAAGAGTACAGCTACCTGCAACAAAGAATTTGCAAAGATTAGATACTAAAGGTACTTCACGAGATGGTTAATCCACGTATCCAAAGACACCATTGTATGAGGATAATTACCTTGGTGAACATTTTGCTTTGATTTATTGGTGAATTGTACTTTACTCCTGCAAAATTTCTTCTTTTATAGCGATTTTTGATTGAAAAAACCCGAAATATATCCAAAGACCTTGGATGTTGATCCTGCTCCAGAAGGAAAACTGGTTAATTGGTATGTGATAGATAGGTCTATTTTCCCATTTTCTAGGTCGTTTATACTTGATTGTAACTATTCGAAGCGATGCTGGGTTCTAAATTTATATTTATTTAATGTATTTATAAAATATTTTCTTGTAAAACTTGATTGGAATGAGGATAAAGATATTTGGGTTCGCAACTCGAAATAGAGTAATGAATAGGTGTAACGAGTTATAGAAATAATACATTGTTAACGTCAGTATCAAATTACATTAATTTAATTTAATTTTAACAGAAATAAAATTATATTTTAATTTAAAATTTCAATAGAACAGCAAATCATATTTAATTATTCAAAAAAGTAACAAAATTAAAGTTTAATTAACCTGCCCAGAACGGAACCTGCCTAACGGAAAAGATATTAGGTATCGTGCGATTCCGGTTTACACGGATTTAATTGTATATAACATGTTTACGGTTGTGTTTTCTGATATACGTTTTAAGGTTCTTTGATTTTTAGCAAAGGAAAAAGTGGGTATGGTCCCTCCGATCCCTGAACTCCTGTAGATGATGAGCTGGCCCAGTGAATAAAACCACTGAACGGTACTTGATCGCGGATTCGTGCCTAGTCAAGTGAAATTTTCCGGATTTTCTTCACTCGTCTAACACCTAAATAGGAGCCAGTTTTCCATAGAAAGTCTTCCCGGGAATCATCCCCCTCGGCAGATCACTTAAGTGTTACATTGCCTTATCCTACCATTGCATTCCTGATGACGAGCATTAAAAATCTCAATGAAATAATATATCATAGGTGATTTCCTACATAATTGAGCATTTATCACCTAATCTTCCTCGTGTATATAATTGAAAATGTTTGTTTTCAGTTCAAAAAGACAAAGAATAAGCACATAAAAACACATAATTTATCAGCTAAATATCAAAATTAAATGAGTTACGTGCTAACTCTTAATGAATTTGTACTTTAGTCTACTATTTAGCCTATATACAATTATAGAATAATCTATTAATAATAGATGAAATATATACTTCTAAGCAGTTATAGAATCCTGCCAATACCAACATTTTTAGAGCCAAATAGTACAGCTCCTGCGTGTGGCTTTAAAGTAAACACTCTCTTCGTCAAAGGTTTTTTTTTATATTTTTAACTATTATGAAATGGCAAAAAGCTTAATTTTGAGGATAGAGGTGAGTTTCGTAAAGAAATTGTTAATACTAATAACGAGTAAAAGCTTCATTAAGTCCGATCCCACTCGAGATATGACATGTGACATTCTCTATCTCACCACACCTTTGACCTTTAACCATCAAAATTTAATAGTAACAACCCTCCTGATACACAAACCACCCCGCAAAATTTCAGAAATTTTCGACAAAAGGCACAAGAGTTATTAAGCTTCAAATTAGATAAATAAAATCTTGCTCCCCCCACACTAACATCCATACATAACGAATCCATTTCTTTTTTGCATTTCTCCAAGATTCAATGTCCCCCAAGTCAAAAAATGTGAAAATCATGAAAAAAAAAGTTAGAAAAAAAAATGTAAAAGAGAAAGAAAACAATAAAGCAAATCTCAGCAGGAACGAGTTTTTCACATTCCTCTCAATTGAAGGCCCACCAGCGACCGAGTGGATAAAACTACCGAACACTGGTTGTGAGCCACGTGGACTTTTCCCAGTTTTCTTCGTGTTGCCGTAACCAAATAAATCTTACAATCGTACCCAATGGTTAGTTTACCGTGCAAACTTCAGTTACAGTTTATATCAAAAGGTGACGCTGTTTAGAGGGGGGTCTCGATAGATGGCATCATAAAAATGAGCAGAAGTCAGTTGCAAATAGGACTTGGAAAACTTATTCCATAATATACGATCGTCACCTAGAGAAAGAAATTACAAGTAAAATTTATATTAATTAAATAAAATTCCTAATGCAAATTTTCGCTGCAACTCTTTCCGCCTTGTGGGCACTAAGGGGACCTTTATAGCAAGTACGTAATAGATTCGGGTAGAGCCACAATGGACCAACCGGGTGGTGTGAGACAGACCACCACCCGAAAAATTCCTGAGACTTTTTGACTCTTCAGGATAGCGGCCAAATTGGCAGCCCACCGCTCTGGGGGACCCGGGTTGAAATCCGAACGGGTCGAAAAATGCCCAGGAATTTTTCGGGGGGTGGTCTGTTCAGATATGTCGGGCCCCATTCCTCACCACCCGGCAGCTCCATTGTGGGCCTGGCCGAACCCATAATGGGCTTGCAAAAAAGAGGCCCTCCCAGAACGGAACCTGCCTAACGGAAAAGATATTAGGTATCGTGCGATTCCGGTTTACACGGATTTAATTGTATATAACATGTTTACGGTTGTGTTTTCTGATATACGTTTTAAGGTTCTTTGATTTTTAGCAAAGGAAAAAGTGGGTATGGTCCCTCCGATCCCTGAACTCCTGTAGATGATGAGCTGGCCCAGTGAATAAAACCACTGAACGGTACTTGATCGCGGATTCGTGCCTAGTCAAGTGAAATTTTCCGGATTTTCTTCACTCGTCTAACACCTAAATAGGAGCCAGTTTTCCATAGAAAGTCTTCCCGGGAATCATCCCCCTCGGCAGATCACTTAAGTGTTACATTGCCTTATCCTACCATTGCATTCCTGATGACGAGCATTAAAAATCTCAATGAAATAATATATCATAGGTGATTTCCTACATAATTGAGCATTTATCACCTAATCTTCCTCGTGTATATAATTGAAAATGTTTGTTTTCAGTTCAAAAAGACAAAGAATAAGCACATAAAAACACATAATTTATCAGCTAAATATCAAAATTAAATGAGTTACGTGCTAACTCTTAATGAATTTGTACTTTAGTCTACTATTTAGCCTATATACAATTATAGAATAATCTATTAATAATAGATGAAATATATACTTCTAAGCAGTTATAGAATCCTGCCAATACCAACATTTTTAGAGCCAAATAGTACAGCTCCTGCGTGTGGCTTTAAAGTAAACACTCTCTTCGTCAAAGGTTTTTTTTTATATTTTTAACTATTATGAAATGGCAAAAAGCTTAATTTTAAGGATAGAGGTGAGTTTCGTAAAGAAATTGTTAATACTAATAACGAGTAAAAGCTTCATTAAATCCGATCCCACTCGAGATATGACATGTGACATTCTCTATCTCACCACACCTTCGACCTTTAACCATCAAAATTTAATAGTAACAACCCTCCTGATACACAAACCACCCCGCAAAATTTCAGAAATTTTCGACAAAAGGCACAGGAGTTATTAAGCTTCAAATTAGATAAATAAAATCTTGCTTCCCCCCACACTAACATCCATACATAACGAATCCATTTCTTTTTTGCATTTCTCCAAGATTCAATGTCCCCCAAGTCAAAAAATGTGAAAATCATGAAAAAAAAGTTTGGAAAAAAAAAATGTAAAAGAGAAAGAAAACAATAAAGCAAATCTCAGCAGGAACGAGTTTTTCACATTCCCCTCAATTGAAGGCCCACCAGCGACCGAGTGGATAAAACTACCGAACACTGGTTGTGAGCCACGTGGACTTTTCCCAGTTTTCTTCGTGTTGCCGTAACCAAATAAATCTTACAATCGTACCCAATGGTTAGTTTACCGTGCAAACTTCAGTTACAGTTTATATCAAAAGGTGACGCTGTTTAGAGGGGGGTCTCGATAGATGGCATCATAAAAATGAGCAGAAGTCAGTTGCAAATAGGACTTGGAAAACTTATTCCATAATATACGATCGTCACCTAGAGAAAGAAATTACAAGTAAAATTTGTATTAATTAAATAAAATTCCTAATGCAAATTTTCGCTGCAACTCTTTCTGCCTTGTGGGCACTAAGGGGACCTTTATAGCAAGTACGTAATAGATTCGGGTAGAGCCACAATGGACCAACCGGGTGGTGTGAGACAGACCACCACCCGAAAAATTCCTGAGACTTTTTGACTCTTCAGGATAGCGGCCAAGGTGGCAGCCCACCGCTCTGGGGGACCCGGGTTGAAATCCGAACGGGTCGAAAAATCCCCAGGAATTTTTCGGGAGGGTGGTCTGTTCAGATATGTCGGGCCCCATCCCTCACCACCCGGCAGCTCCATTGTGGGCCTGGCCGAACCCATAATGGGCTCGCAAAAAAGAGGCCCTCTTAGTGCCCACAGGGCGGAAAGAGCTAAAAAAAAAAAAAACGGAAGAAACTCCGTTCGGGTAAACATTTTTTAATTGAAATAACATGACTTCCTGTTTAGCCCGGAAGTTCTTATAAAGTTAATCGGGGCCTCCTGCCCCTAAGATTTCCATATCTGGTCTCGTATTTCATCTTAATTTAACTCCGTTCTCGAGATTATGGAAGGACGGACGGACGGACGACAATGGGAATTTATAGGTATACAATGTTTTCAAATTGCAATCTAATTAATAAAGTGAAAGATTACAAGGAATATTTATTATTAGGCTGTCAGGTTTACAAACAAGCTCAACAAGAGCTACACATGAAACTGTAACTTGGGACCTCATATTATGCGGCTATGGTTTAGAGCCTCAGATAACAAATATACATATTAGAAACTTACACTGCCAGGCTAAAGATTAGGACCTGACAAGACAAAAGAGATGTAGTTTAGGGCCTCAAATTATCAAGCTTATAATTTGAGGCCTTAGGTTGAAGTAAGGTTCTCATTTCTATATTTATTATCTGAGGCCCCAATACACATGAACATAACATTGAAATTATGATTCTGTGGAGTGTTATGCGTTGCATGTAACTCGCCACAGAGGTTTTTATCTATTCTGTATCTATTCAATGTAAAAGTTCCACCATAACGGTGTCGACTGAATTTTTTAATTACTTAGAACGTAATCAGGTGAAATGTCGAGGCGATTCTGCATTGGAATAGTACTTAACTCAAGTTTGAAGTTTTGTACACTGAGAAAGTGACGAGGTGGGCTTTTCCGTATTTCCGTCTGGCCCACGTGACTATATAAGCTTCGTGTAGCCCACTTTACTCTTCGTGGAATATCTGATGTTATGTAA